TTCATTAGGGAACTCATCCCTGATTGGTCTGATGACCTACCCCTAACCCCGCCCCTAAACCTACCCGTCACTGGGGGTCTGATGACTTACCCCTAACCCCGCCCCTAAACCTACCCGTCACTGGGGTTAAGACCAATCAGGGATGAGTTCCCTAATGAATATTCATGAGTCTTCCCCTACCATCCTGTGAAAAAAAATATCGCGGCCGGTGCCCCCCCTGGCCACCACGTAGACCCGCCCCTGTGTGTGTGTGTATGTATATAGGGCAGACATACAGTCTATGGTGGCAGGCTGGCAGCACCATCTGCTGATCAAGCAGGGTAAAACTAAATGAAAAAAAATATATATATATCCGGGGAACGGTGCGGTACGTCATCACGTCAAGACAGCGCATGTTGCAACAACAACACTGCAGTCTACAGCGAGCTAACAAATATTAGCATCAGTACCAACTGCCTTGCCCCCAAACAGCCGACCATGGAGTCAAATGTGTATATATATACCGTAAAACTTCAAATAATAGCCCGGGCTTTTCCCAAATCGTCGAACTGCACCGGCTTGTATTTGAGACAGGCGTCTATATGAGACCGGCCTTTATAATTTAGTGTTGAGATGTTGTTCATTGAGTCTAAGTAAGCCTAGAGTCTCTAATCTCTAATAATCTCCAAATGCTCCACGTGAAACTGCGGTCTTCCGACCTTTTACTATCGTGTCAATTGATTTTGATTAATATGCGCGAGGGAGAGAGAGCAAGACAGCGCTCGTTTTGTTTGAAGACGTGAGAGTGCGCGCGCGCGGCCGGGGCTCTCTCTCTCTCTGCTCGTTATGCGCCCTGTCAAGCGCAGCAGTCAATTCATTCTACATCACTCGCCGATCAAATAGGCTTTGGCGGGACACACATTTGCTTTGGCGGCCAAAGCAAATGAATAAGTTGTTGTTATACAGTAATATTTTTTTCTTTTTTCCCCTTTTTTGATATCGTATCGTATCGTGACCCTGGCATATCGAGGTGCATCGTATCGTGAGTTTAAGTGTATAGTCCCATCCCTAGCGTGTACAGGGCGGGATATGAGGCTGGTTCACGTACGCACATCTGCGGGTGATCTGTGATTTATAAAGGGAACATTGCTTACAGGTGTGCGTACGCACGGTTTTATAAATCGGAATATTTTTTGGCGTACGCCATTTTTGGCTTTTGGGCGCACGTAAACTTTTAGTAGGGATCCTACGCACAGTTTTATAAATGAGACCCCTGGACATGGACTGTTTTATGTGCAACAATAGCTTGCTCAGTGTTCATTAAGAGCAGGCCAGACCCTTTAAACGTAAAGGGATTTTAATTCTTTCATTTTTTTCATACACTATGATTTAAAAAAGTGCTAAGTTTAGTGAAAAAATCCTTTCCATCTTTTCATCTCTGTAACCTCCCCTGCCTGTTATTTTCGGAAGTAGATATTTTATCACTGATAAGTGATGTATTTTAAAAAATTGTCAGTCAAAATTTTTTTGACTGCCAACTGCTGGAGGATCAGTATTCTTCATTTTTTCTGACTAACATCTGCAGCGTTGTCTCAAATAAAGAGATGAGGATCTAAATGCAAAGAGTTTATTCCACACGTGCACAGTTCCAATAATTCACAAACAGGCAAGACATGAATCTTGGCAAGGCAATAACATGAACTCCAAAGCAGACGAGGCATGAACACCATGACGAGACAATGCAACAAACATACGATGAGAAACTCAAACATTAACCAACAAACGGTCACTCAAACATGATCCTATTTATACACCAGGGATCTAACGAGATAACAAGGGGAGGGGCGTGTTGTTGGGGAAACTAACAAGGACAACCATGGTAACTTGGACCGTGGATCGTGGGAGGACCTGGGCCGTGGAGCCTGGGAGGACCTGGGATCGTGGATCGCAGTTCAGTTCATTTATTTATAAAGCACATTTAAAAACAGTCACAAGGCTGACCAAAGTGCTGTACAAGCATATGCTAAAAATCAAGGAGAAAACAGCTAAGAAACTACATGTACAGATTTAAAACAAAAAACAATGAAGTCAAATAGATAACATAGTAGAGACATTAACAAGTATTAAAAGTTAAGGAAAACAAATGGGTTTTCAGCAGAGATTTAAAAACTGATAAAGAACGAGCTACTCTAAGTTGTGCTGGCAAGCTGTTTCACAATCTAGGCCCCACCACCGAAAAGGCTCTGTCTCCTCTATGTTTGAGTCTAGTACAAGGAACAGTGAGTATATTTCACTTACTAGATCTTAGGTCGCGGGATGGACTATAGGAATGTAGAAGTTCAGACAGGTAACTTGGAGCAAGATGATGCAGACATTTGTACACAAATAGGAGAATTTTATAGTCAATCCTAAATTGGACTGGTAGCCAATGGAGAGCTCGCAGGATGGGAGTGACATGATCGAATTTTCGTCTTTTCTTAAGAAATTTGGCCACAGAATTTTGGACCAATTGAAGACGAACGAGCTGGGACTTAGAAATGCTGCAGTACAGTGAATTACAGTAATCCAAGCGGGATGTTATAAAAGCATGAATAGCTGTCTCAAGGGATTTTTTGGGCACGAAATATTTAATTTTGGCAAGAAGGCGGAGTTGAAAAAAGCTAGAAGCGACAACAGAAGACACCTGTTTCTCTAAAGTTAATAGACTGTCCAGGAAAACTCCCAGGTTCCGTACACAGCTTGTGTTAAATACAGACAAATTACCTAACGTCTTGTTGTCAAACTCAAAATTGTCAGATGGGCCAAAAACTATAACCTCGGTCTTTGAATCGTTTAATGTTAAAAAGTTACTTGCCAGCCAAAGCTTTACCTCATTGAGACAGTCCATTACAGATTTAAATGCAGAGGGGTCATTTCTTTTTATCGGCAAATAGATCTGCGTATCGTCCGCATAGAAATGAAAAGAGACACCATGCCTTCTTAGAATCAAGCCTAAAGGAAGGATGTACAGAGAGAAAAGCGAGGGAGATAAGATAGAGCCCTGAGGAAGTCCAGTTTCAAGCAGAGCAGCAGAGGAGGTAAAACTGCCAATCCTGACTGAAAAATATCTGTCAGTTAAGTAGGATTTAAACCATTTTAGGACTGAACCTTTCAGCCCCACATCTTTTGATCTAGATAAGAGCAGCGAATGATTGACAGTATAAAGCTGCGGTTAAGTCTAAGAGAATTAAAACCACGGGGTCACCAGCATCAGTAGCAACTAAAATGTCATTTAGCACTCTCCGTAAAGCAGATTCTGTGCTGTGGAAAGACTTAAAACCAGACTGAAAAATGTCAATTTTTTTTGACGTATTTAGAAATGACTGAAGTTGGCACAATACAGTCTTTTCTAGAACCTTTGAAATCAATGGAATCACAGAGATGGGTGGTTAATTATTTAAAATAGAAATGTCTAAGGAAGGTTTCTTGAGTACTGGAGTGACAAAGGCCATTTTTAGGTATGAAGGGACCGAACTGGTTAATAAACATTTGTTCACAAAGGGTAACAGGCCAGGGCCAATAGACTCTGTTAACATAAAAAAAAGAAGATGTATATCATTAGAAGGGCAGAAAGAGGGTTTGAGGGTGGCAATAGTTTCAGCAAGGGATTGTAAAGTAATGGGTTTAAAAACCTCCAATGAGGTTAGCGGTATAGTCAAAGCATACTGATCATTATATGACACTATTGCCTGAGGCCCTGGAGTGTAGGCGGCCATCTTGGGACGAGACTCTGGAGGGGCAGCGGCCATCTTGGGACAAGACTATGGAGGGGCGGCGGCCATCTTGGCAGGAGGCTCTGAAACGTGGCCACCTTGGCCGAGGGCACACGGGTTGGAACCGGTGTGTGCTGCCAAAAATAGCCGTGGCCATGATGATCAGCGCTGCAGCTTCAAGAGCTTGCTCAAGCGCGACGGACAACTTGTCCGAAGACACAGGTGTGGCAGGCTTGGCCTGAACGGTCTTTGGCTGGGCTTGTATAACATGAACAGTCTCTGGCTCGGTAGGCCTGACGTGAAGAGGCTCAGACTCGGCAGGCATGACGCGAAGAGGCTCAGGCTCGGCAGGCATGACGTGAAGAGATTCAGGCTTGGTGGTAGCGGGTACAGCAGGATTACAGGGTTCCTCATCCACATATCACATAGTAAATGAGGAACCGCTTAATAATATTGCCCGCTCTATAATGTCCGCTAAAGTTCCTTTAGGATCATCACAAGAAAGTAGTGTTTTCAATGGAGCATGAAGACTTGTCTGATAAAAAATAATAAGCGACTTATCTAAAAAGACACTTCGGTGAGCGAGGTCCATTTTTAAAATTTGGCAGTCAAAACTAAAACCATTGGAGGATCAATGTTTTTTTTTGTTGACAAACAGCAAATGGGAATGTGTATATTACAGTATTTTCTAAATTTTTGAATCGCAGTGTACAGTATTTATTATTAGAGGGGTAGACTCCATAGCTCAGTACTCACTACTCATGATTACTTTAAAAGAAGCTACTCTCACACTACTCAAGTAGTTTTTTTTATATGTACATTTAACACAAATATTTTAGGAATCTGTCAAAAACTTGTTTAAAACTAAAAAAGATATTGTCATTTATTAGGCAAATAACAAATTGAAACAACTAAATAGTATTTATGTAAACATCATAACCAAAAACTTGGCCATGATAACAGCTTGTATTCTTGTTGGCATTGTTTTTTATGTACAGTACTTTTCCACAGTCTCTGTTGTAATTGACTTCCAAATAGTCAATACTTGTTCCCAAATACTTGCTTTTAATGAAACCTTTGTGCGATATATCGTTGAATCCACTAAATCCCAGACTTTGACCTGGCCAACTGTGACTAAAGAGCTTACACATACTGGTGGATCAACCATATATATATATATACTGTACATTGTTATGTTTCAGAGACAATTTTATCAAAGACATTCATAGGCCTTTCAGTGTAAACACTGATGCTCTGTGATGCTTTCAGCTCTCCTCACAGGCACATCCACAGCACCACCGATCTCTGGAGCCAACAGTACACAAACGAACCTAACTACAAGCACAACAAAATTTACAACATCAAATATAGACTCACAGGCTCCAGGTAAAAAAAAAAAAAATATATATATATATATCCTCCTGGGACCCAAGAATAGACTTTTGTCCACTGTAGTGGACATTATATTTTAGTGAATTTCTCTGACATCATACATGTCACATGACACAACCTGGGTGTCCTGTAAAGAGCACATTCAGGACTTTTCAGAGATACCAAATGTTTGGAGGTTTCACCATGAAAACAACTTCTCCTTGGTCTTTAAAAATGTTGGACATTAATTTAGTGATCAAATGTAGCATTCTTATGGAAATATGATAATATATTGTAATTATATTTAAATTGGACTACTTTTTCAAATTGTATTTCATAAAACAACATCTCAGGAAAATGTTAAGGGGTTTCAAATAAAAAAAATACTTTCTGTTACAGAACAGGGCATTGATTTCAAACGTGTCCACTGTAGAGGACATCAGGACTAAAACCATGTTTATCAGGCATTCTGGGAGACACAACAAGTGAATATGGAGATAAATTATACATCAATATTCCTATGAAATATTAGATGATATTATTAAAATGTTGCCAATAATTACTCCAATTGTTACACTTCTTTTTTCATTAAATGTTGCTCCAAGAACACATTAATGTGCAAATTAGATACAGTGTATAGATACATTGCATTGAATGGGAATATTAATTTATGGCCATTTTACCCACATATTGCAAAAAGTAAAATGGTGTATCAATTCATTCCATTATTTCTTTCATAACATAGTTGAGAATAATCTTTATACAAATTTTGGTTGAAAAAATCCTGAAACCCCAAAATTTATTGGTGATTGAAAAAAAATCCCATTGTTTTTGCCTATACATATAATTTCATGTCATTTTATTTTTTAAACAACTTAGTCCTGGCGTCCACTACAGAGGACATAGCATAACTTATGAATAAAATATTATTTTATATATGTGTTTTTTTACCATTTGTTTATTGTGCTCTAAACAGTGTGATGACATGGAAAAAAACTAAATTCAAAAAACTTTTTTTTTCTGGGTCTCAGGAGGCTATATATATATATATTTTATATATGTGTATATGTGTATGTATATATCTGATGTGTGATGCTGAACTAAACTCTACATGAGTTTCTAAAGGTTTTTGTATTCTTTTCACTGTTCTGAACAGAGACTGTTCCCTTTCGAGAACTGTCACTTTGTATTGCGTAGCTATTCGCAGTGGGGAAACTCATTTTCCTCGAATTCTGAAGCTTAAAATGTAAAGCGCATTTTGCAGCTGCACAGCTAGCACAGTGAGTGTCTGGCCCACTCATTGGCTGTGCTGCGGCAACTGCACATCCAATGAGCCCACCACAGGGGGCGTGGCCATAGCCCATAAAAGCCCCCGAAATAGCCATTATAGCAGATTTTATCTCCTTCAGCGGCATACTTCACGTCTCGGAGTCCTCTAAAAGCTTCGCCGTTAAAACCAGCCCTACAGTTAGAGTGTGCATCTCTACAGCGGATTTCGCCTTTGTTTCAGAAGCCGTCTTCCCCTGTCGCCTCTCTGCTGTCGCTATCCGTCGACCAACGCAATATCCTTTGCTTTTGCTTTGCTTTTACTTTTAGGACAGCGAGCATTGCTCCAAATGCCTCGCTCTTCATGTGCCACGTGCGGCTCTCTCCTGCACGAGGCGAACGGGCATGCTAAGTGCGTGGCGTGCCTGGGTTCCGCCCATGCTCAAGCTGCATTTTCCGCCGGGGGATCCTCGGTCTTTGAGGGCATGCCCATCTTTGCGGGCTTCCAAAGCTACGGCGCAAGCCATCGGGAGGAGCATGGTGAACACGGTCGTGCTTGAGCGCCACCTGTGGCTCATGCCTACGGACCTTAAAGAGGCTGATAGAACGGTGTTCCTCAACGCCCCGGTCTCTAGTACCGGCCTCTTCGGCCCGGCGGTGAAGGGCTTCTCTGAGAGGTTTACCGAGGCTCAGAAGTCATCCCAGGCGATGCGACACTTCCTCCCTAAGCGTTCTAGCTCGTCCTCGAGCAGGCCCAAGTCCGCCAAGCCTTCTCCGTCTCCTCAGCGAGCGAAGCCAGCCAGCCAAGCAGGCCACTCAGCCCCGCTCTGCGGCTGAAGCCGGCCGGCCCGCTAAGCAAGCTAAGCGCCACCCGCTGCCCCGGTGCTAGGGCCCTCGTCCCAGCGGCACGACAGATCCCAGGCCCCCAGCTTCCTCCTAGCATCGGGGGGGGAAAAGGGAGGGCTCGCGCTAGCCGGACCACCCTCCAAGAGACCCAGAAGACTTCTCGCAGCTCCCTGTTTAGTTCAGGCGGCTGGAGATTGTATTACTGTAAACAGGCCCGCTGCACTGTGCGTGCCTTTACAAACAAACGCCGTTTTCACGGCGACCCAAATAAAGCACAAAAAGAGTATGTTTCAAGCACACAACACGGGGGTTCACGGTCCCCCTTCATTAGGTGCCCCCCCTTGCTTCACTGACTTTGCCCCAGGCGACAGCCTTTATAGTCAGTCCAACACTCAATATGTGCACAAATCACAATAGAATTTATCTGGAGCGTTCCGCGTCTTTTAGACAATCAGAACAGCTCTTCGTCTGCTTCGGTGGCCGCTCCAAAAAGTCGCCAGTCACAAAACAGAGAATATCCAGATGGATAGTTGATATTATTTCTCTAGCATACACCTCAGTGGGTCAGGTTTGCCCTATTGGAACTAGAGCTCATTCGACTAGAGGCATGGCCTCTTCTTGGGCTTGGTCTTCTTGGGTTTCCATTCACGATATCTGTGCGGCACTGAGTAGCATGGCAGTATGTCGCTTCAGTCGATGTAACCTGCTATAATGGCTATTTCGGGGGCTTTTATAGGCTATGGCCACGCCCCTTGTGGCGGACTCTGACGTGTATGACGTAATGATAGCTCATTGGCGCACACGTTGGAGCCGCCCGTGCCATTGGATGTCCAGCTGCAGCACAGCCAATGAGTGAGCAAGACACTCACTGTGCTAGCTGTGCAGCTGCAAAATGCGTTTTACATTTTAAGCTTCAGAATTCGAGGAAAAGGAGTTTCCCCACTGCGTATAGCTACGCAATACTCGTTCCCTTACTCTCAGGGAACCGAGGTTACGTTAGTAACCAAGTACATTTATGTGCAACAATAGCTTGCTGAGTGTTCATTAAGAGCAGGTCATACCCTTTAAACATAAATGGATTTTAATTCTTTCATTTTTTCATACACTATGATTTAAAATAGTGATGAGTTTAGTGAAAAAACCTTTCCATCTTTTCATCTCTGTAATCCTCCTGCATGTTATTTTCAGAAGTAGATATTTTATCACTGATAAGTGATGTATTTTAAAAAGTTGGCAGTCAAAACTAAAACTGTTGGAGGATCAGTATTCTTCATTTTTTCTGACAAACAGCAAATGGATTGTGTGTAATGTGTATTACAGTATGTACAGGCTTTTCTACATTTGTAAATTGCAATGCACAGTATTTATTATTAGAGGGGTATAATCCATAGCTCAGTACTCACTACTCATGGGTACTTTTAAAGAAGCTACTCTTTTACTCAAACTCAATTAGTATTTTTGACAAGCACATTTATCACACTACATTTTTGAAAAGTAATGATGCTTTGACTTGAGTATTGTTTCAGTACTCTTTCAAAGTGTAAATGCTGTTGGTCTGTGGACCCGTTTATACCTGGTATTACAGTTTTTTCAAATTGCTTACACACAATTTCTGAAACTATGGCTCAATTTCTTGAAACTCAAAACCACAAAACACGCACATAACATGCAAAACATCTGACATTTCTTGCAAAAGCAAACACATTTAAAACAATTTTAACTCTTTCAAAAATTGTGTTTTTGTGTAGTAACTCTACACACAAACATAAAATGATTAGCCACATGCATGCCAAACTACACACAGATGTGAAAAATGTAAAACACTATCTTGTGTCTTTTGCTTGTTCAGTGTGCAGTGGAGTATACAGGAATTTCTCACACGTACATGTATGTGCACAAATACATACAATATGTATGAACAATTGATGAAATGCTACAGTTATTGAACTGAACTGAATCAACACAGAAGTGACTTGACCAAAATATTGACACTGTTGGCATGTTGGCCAAGCTGCTTCTCAGGCGATTTTGAATTTGTTACTATTGTGAAGCTGCTGTAAAACAATCTCTTAGCTTGTATGCACATTCAATGTGCTGTGTGTGTGTGTATATATGTATATGTAACATGCTGATCTTACTAATACAATTTAGTGATTATAACTTATTTTGAATAAGTTTGTTGACCTTACTGAGTTTAACTAATTAACAACAACTTTTTAGCACGGAAAGTTATTAAACTTAATAGATTCAATTATCCTCTACTTAAAATAATGAGTATTGTGAATGGTCATGCGCAGTTCTACATGTAGGTGGAGTCAATTCAAAATGGATTGTGTGGGGAGAAACACATGGAAAGGTGAGTTAGTGCTTGTTTGTCAGTTTTTTATTTCGGAATTGCCTAATATATCGTAGTAATCAGATTAAATAACTTAGCATTACATCATGGTGATATTGGATGTGATGTCATTTTATTGAAATTGTTGGATTGTGCTAATCGAAATTAGCAGTCTAGCATTCTCTGATATTTGGCTGCATGTACTCAGTAAAGAAACATTATGTTTTAGATGTTTTTATTGTGTGTACAATTTAGACTGAGGAAATATTTTACAGATTACTCTACTGATTTATATTTGGATGTTTAGATGTGTTGAACAGGGATGTTACATTTTATATTATTTTTTTATTTTTATTAAAATGTTTGAACACTACGATACGTAATTTAATGTAAATCTTTATAGTAAGAATTTAGTAGATTCATTTTTTTTTTTTTTATGGAATGAGATATACAATGGAAATGTGAGTATTCTGGGTTTTTTTTGTTTGTTTTTGTGTGTGGCAGTGTCGCTTAAAATATGGAAGCTGCACCAGAACTATTCCAATGCTATGCCTTCACACAAACTTTT